CTCAGGAGAGCTGATGACAAGACTACTCAGTATTGACACAAAACAGTGTTGTGACCACATGTGAACAGTTAATTCCACTCTAGTGTTAATGGGCTGTCCAGCACAGAGACAGGGCTGGTGTGGTGCAGGGGAGGGGACAGAGCCCAAGGTCCCCAGAGCACAGCACTGATCCTGCTCTCTCAGCCATCCATCCAGCTATGTCTGCTCTTAATTACATTAAAATAACACTCTCCCACCTCATTTTTTATTATTAGAAATGAACAGATTTAAAGCATTTCCCCTCAAATTATGGTTCACCTGAGTAGATAATTAAAGGAGATACACTTCCATGTGTAATTACGCCTACTTCTGCTGCTGTATCAGGGCTTCAAAAATATTTGCAAAACAACTCAAAACTTTTATTTTGTCAGCACAATAATTGCTGCTTGTCAGGGCTATCGGTGCCAGCATCTGCTCAAACAGGAGCAACATCTCACAGGCAGCCTTGCTGGGAGAAGGAGCAGCATGGAGCTGTAAAGCATCCCAGGAGATCTGCTGGCAGAACAGCTGTGCACACCACACCATGGAGCCAGCACTGAGCTCACCAGGGAACAGCTCCTGGAAAGGAGAAGGATGCTGGTTTGAGTTTTGTGGGGAGCCGAGAGGCTGGAGGGAGCAGTGCAAGGTTTGTTCCCCGACCATCAGGTTGTGGAGACCCACAGGGACAAAATCTCCACACACCGCTGGATGCACCTGGATTGGTTTGGCACACTGAAGGCTCAGCACAGAATCAGAATTCTAGGGTGGTTTGGGTTGGATGTGAGCTTAAAGCTCATCCATTCCCACCCCCTGCCATGGGCAGGGATACTTTCCACTATCCCAGGTTGCTCCAAGCCCTGTCCAAGCTGGCCTGGAACATCTCCAGGTGATTTTGTGCTGCCCCTGGTTACTCTTGTTTTAAGACACTGCCTGCATGTGCAGCCTGGTGAGCCTCACTGGTCAAAACAGGACCCATGTCAAGAACCACCCCCAGCACAATCTGCAGCTGGACACCAATCTGGGGGCCTGGTTGGCTTCCCAGAGCCCAGACTGCAGTCCCCTGGAGGGTCACCCACTGCCACCCGTGACATTGGACCCACCCAGTGTTTTCAGAGCCAAGTGACCAAACAGACACTGACCAGAGAAGGGAAGGTTCCCTGGGAGGATGGAGCTGCTGGGATGAAGGCTGAGCAGGGACCAGCAGCATGGGGCCAGCACCAGGCTGGACATCACCCTGCTCTCCGTGCTGGGACATCCAGAGCCAGCTGATGCCCGTGGCCACTGCTGGGTGCCCAACACCCCTGGCTGTGGAACACCAGCTCTGCAGGCCACACAGGGTGCCAACGTGCTTTGAAGTCCCCAAATCCACACTTGAGCTCACTGTGTATAAAGAAGATAAAATATCCCATCTCCCTCATAAGGACACGGAGAAATAAATTCATTAGTGTTCATAAGGAGCTAAGAAACTCTGATTAGAGAGCCAGGAAAGGGCCCACGAGGGAAATGAATAATTCGGCGTGCAGGAAGAGGGTGGTAAATAATGCATGGGCTGCCTGGCACCGGGGAGCAGCTCTGGGTGTGGCACAGGGCCAGGCAGGGAACACATCCCCTCGTCCCACAGCTGGGGTGGGGAATGGAATGCACCTCCCAGCCTTTCCTGGGACTTGAACAGGAGGATATGGGTAGGACTGCTGAGCCAGGCAGCACAGATATTGTAGGGTTTTAGTGAGCTTTCCACTTCCCATGTTCCTTCAGAGGGGCATCAGCATCTCCCATTGGGTCCACAGGCAGGAGAGCCAGTCCCCAAAGCTGGGGTGGCAGCAGAGACATTTTCTCACCCCAGGTTAATGCCAGCACCCCAGGGCACCTTACAGGAAAGCACTCCCACTCCTCCAGGGCCAAGTGGGTGTGAGGGGCTGGTCCTGCAGGAAAGCATCCTGAATCCTCCCCATTGCTGAGGGCAGGGGCAGAGGAGAACAGCCCACAGCACAGGAGCAGCTCAAACATGTCCTCCACCCTGCCCAAAGCCCAGGTGGGATTTGCTCAGTCAGCTGGGTGAGAGCGTGTATCTGGGAGCTCCATGGAATCCTAGGATGGTTTAGTTTGGAAGGGACCTCGAAACTCATCCAGTCCAACCTCCCACTGTCCCAGGTTGCTCCAAGCCCTGTCCAACCTGGCCTCGGGCACTTCCAGGGATGGGGCAGCCACAGCTTCTCTGGGCTACCTGTGCCAGGGCCTCAGCACCCTCACAGGGAAGGATTCTTTCCCCTTATCCCATCTGACAATGCCCTCTGGCAGTGGGAAGCCATTCCCCCTTGTCCTGTAAGTCCATCCCTTGTCCCCAGTCCCTCTCCAGGTCTCCTGGAGTCCCTTTAGGCACTGGCAGTGGCTCTGAGGTGTCCCTGAAACCTCCCCTTCTCCAGGTAAGCACCCCCAGCTCTCCCAGCCTGGCTCCAGAGCAGAGGGGCTACAGCCCTTGGGAGCATCTCCATGGCCTCCTCTGGACTCATTCCAACAGCTCCATATCCCTCTTCTGCTGGAGGTCCCAGACCTGGATGCAGCACTGCAGGTGGGGTCTCACCTGAGCAGAGCAGAGGGGCAGAATCCCCTCCCTGGGTGCTGCTGGTGGCTTTGGGGCAGCAAAGGGGGCAGCTGTGCAGGTTGAATCAGGGTAAAATTAGCTGAAATCCAGCTAAAATTAACTGAGATCCAGCTAAAAGAACTGCCTGGAGTAAATCCTGCCCTGTCCCCGTCACCCTGGAGCAGAGGGAGGATGTGGTGTCACTTAGGAGGGTTATGGGGGGTGACCACATAAACAAGAACAAGTCCCTTGGCTGCAACAGGAGGTGACTTTCCTGAGAGCACCCCTTAAAACTTCTCCAGAGGGCCTGGAGGAGATTTCAACACTGCAGCAGCCTCAGACTGGCTCCATCCGAGCCCTCCTGGCTCTCCAGCACTGCTGAGCCTCCCTGGCTTGTCCTCCAGGAAAATCCCACCACTTTTAATAGGCTATGAGGCATCTCCATTAATTCCAGCAGATGCTGCCAGTTAATGTGGGTTGGCACAGAACTTTATCATCGGCCCATATTGCTCCAATTACAATTTAGCCTATGGTCCTCTTGGGCTCATCTTTTATTTGTCTTTCACTGCCAAGTGTGGGAGGGAGGGGAGGTGGGAGAGGCCAGGAGATGTGTGCCTGACCTCTCCCTCCTTCACTGCCACATGTCCACACAGCCAATACATCCCCAGCACTCTCTTCCCATGGGAAGGGCTGTCCTTGGGCCAGAGCTGTAAATCTGGAATAAGAGCAAGAGTGTCTCACCAGACCGCCCAGCGAAGCCCCTCATTGCACCCCATGGAGCTGAGCACAGTCCTGCTCAGTTTTCTCCTTGCAGTGGGGTAAATAAGGATTTATTCCAGCGCCAGGGCTGGAGTTAGGCTGGCATCACTCTGCTGTGCTGGAGCACTGGGTGCGTTGGGATTTCTGGGAGCTGCTGCGGGGTAATCGGAGCCAGCACGCTCCTTCCATTTTTCAAACCTGAGAGCCATGAAGGAAAGATTTTTCATTTTGAGGGTTAGGCGCTGTTCTGGCTGTGACAGTTGCCTGTGTCTGTATTGAAAGCTCAGGGAAAGTTTCTTTGGATGCTGTGTGGCCTCATAAATGACATCTTGCTCCAGCTGGGACGCAGGCGGAGATGGTGACTGGTTATCCCTTGGGGGAAATAAAGCACAGCTTCCAGAGCCTGCAGCTGTGTAAACCTGTGTCAGGGAGTGAGGGCCTGTGAGGGACTGGCTGGCCATATCCAGGCTCTGCCGAGGGCCCTTTGGCTCCCCAGGGTCCTTCAGAGCCTCATTAACCACCACACCGACAGCAGGGCTCCCCCAGACCCTGTTAAAAGGCTCTCCAAGGCAAACTACTTCAGGAACATCAAGCTGTCAATGTCTCTTGGTTACTTAAGGGGAAAACCTCAGAGAGCCTGTGTGAAGGACACACCCTCCCAGCACCCCAAATCCCAGAGGATTCAACAAACTGATTTAAACCACACCAGAAGCCCATTAAATCAAGTGTCTACTCAATTAAGGACACACAACTTCACTCTGCCCTCCATCAGCTGCTGCCTATTTGCATCTTGCATATCCAAAGACGGCAGAGACTCTCTGCTTTCATTTGGTGGGATGGGCTTGGCAAAAAAGCATGCAAAACACCCAAACCTACAGTTCTACCCCTGTGTAAAGTGTGAGGCAAACCTCACTGTGGTATGTGAGCCTGGGACAGTGGAGTCCTGCCTGCAGGGACCTGGAGCAATCCCCATCAGCACACGGAATTCACTCACTCAAAAATCCCTGTAATAAAGACATCCCAGCTATAATGGCCCTGGAGAAGCAGAAAGGATTGGAAATCTCCGGACAGGAGCCAGGAGAACACCCCATATCAACACCACCACTGGTGGGACAGTTACAGGATGTCAGGGACTGCAGGGCTCTGCCAGTCCCACCTACAGCTGAAGCACTGCTTGTCTCCCTCCCCATGGCTCACCCCAGAACCATGGGAACCCCTCACCCCACCTCCAGAGCTCTCCCAGTAACAGCTCTCCTTTCTGAACCTAAATAACTTTCTGGTGGCTGCTTATTTTTAATTTACAAAACCTTTAGCCCCTGGTGTCAGCTGGAGGATGTTCCCAGTGCCAGGAGGACCAGCTGCTCTCAGCATCACCTGGATCTCAGAGAATCAGAATATCCTGAGGTGGAAGGGACCCACAAGGATCATGGAGTCCGACTCCTGACCCTGCACAGGACCACCCCAAGAGTGTGTGTGACAGAGCTGGATGGGTTGTGGGACTGATCCCAGCAGGATAAAACACCCAAGTGCAGCCAATACACGAGGAAGAATCCATTTGCCAGCCATCATTTACAGTAATCCTTGAGGAAGGCAGGTTGCAGTCGAGATGTATGGACAGGCTCCAGCAGGACGGGAGGCTGGGAGCCAGCAGGGACGGCTCTTTGATCCCAGGCAGCGCTTCCAGCGCGTTTCCCTGCGCCATCGCACACCCGGGCTTTGAACGGCGCTCCGCACAAACAGCCCTGCCAGGAAAACTCCTTCTCCCGGCTTCTTTTGCTGCGAGCAAGCTCCGATAGGGATCGCCGAGAATAAAGTCACTTCATTTACAAACCGGGGAGCCAAATCTGATAGACATCAACATTCGAGGTAAGTCAAGGAGCGGTGGAGCGCTGCCAGCTCCCCAAATGAATATTCATGGAAACACTCCCCCAGCTCCGAGCTGAAGAGAAGCCGGCAGCAGGAAAGCTGCCCTGGGAAGGGGAAGGCGAGGGACCAGGCTTATTTCATCCTTTTTATTGAGTGCAATTTTCTCTTTAGTACAATATTCTCTGAAAGATACTGTTACAAACTCCGACAATTTCAACACAATCAACAAACTGGGGAAGAAGGGGAGGGGGAGGGAGGAGCAAAAAAACTTCCAGGGGTTGAAATCTTTTACAGACATCTCACTGGTTATGTACAGGACAGGGTAGGGCTGGCCCGGGACACGCCGCGGCTCGGGGGGACGGGGACCGGGGCGCTGCGGGACCTCCCGGAGCATCCTGCGGTGGGAAGCGGCCCCTGGGGCTCCTCTCCGGTGCTGCTGCAAGGCTGCACTCCACGCCCCTGCAAGGCAAGAGGAAGACGAGGAGAGGGTGAGAAATAGGCACGTCCAGAGCTCAGAGAGCCCCACCGAGCCCCCCGCACCCAGAGAAACCCAAAGGCTTCTTACAGCACATCCAGCCTCTCTCTCAAAAGAAAAAAAAAAGAGCAGGGATTAATTAATATGCTGTCAGAAAAGTGATGATTTCACTGAAAGCTCTCCATTTCTCTTCAGGGGGGAAAAGGAAGGAATGGAAGAGATGGAATTCTTTGTGAAGCTGAGTTGCTTTAGGGAGCGGAGGCTGGGATGCAATTTTGGGGGCGGGTGGGTACCTGTGTCCCCCCGCAGCCAAGCTGCCTTTCCCCCTCCTCCCACTGCAAAATGAGCCCCCCCGGGTGTAAAGCAGGAGCAAACCACCAGGCACCATCAAATAGCTTTTTCCAATGTAACAAAATAAAATCCCCATTCTCTCTGCTGCCAGGGGGAAACCAGAAGGTCTGGGAATCAGAGGAGCAGCCCCAGCAACACCTTCTCCGCACCCTATAACCAACAAGTACCACACAGCAGCAAAATCCCATTATTTAGCCACTTTGGAGAGGCAAAGATGCTTTTAATATACAATTGCACCTTGGAAACATAAAGGCAGCACATTAAATAACAAAGCAATTGACTGCTGGGTCCCTTTGCTGGGCCACAAAAAAACGGGGCTCACTGGCTAATTATTGCTGGGCATCTCTGTGCCTCTCCAAACATACCAATGCTTTCAGAAACCCACCCCAGCTGTGCCTGACATTTCACTCCTATTAAAATTCATCATTCTCCTGAATGGAAATAATTTTTTTCTTTAGCAAACCCAGGTAGTAATGAAAGTTTTATTTAGTAATGTAGTGTTTGGTGGAAAAAAGAGCAGAGAAAAGGGAAGAGAAATTGAGATTATCTTTCAAAAAAGGGAACTTCAGCTGGGGGGAAATATATTGCTGGATATTTCTTGGGTGCAGGGGGCCACTCTGCAAAAGGAGTCACACCTCAGCCCCTTTCCCCTGGGGCCTCCAGAGCTCCATCCCCACCCAGGCACCAGCAGGGACATGACATGGCACTGCCACCCAGGCACTAACCCCAGCCTGAGTCCCTGACCACAGCAGCCTCTGGCTGGCTCCCAAATATTTAGGCTGTGGAATCTGAAGAGTTCAGCCAAAGTACGGTGGGGAAAAATAAGTGAACCAAGTGATATGTGCACGTTCCACATCTGCCTGTCCATGGAAGCCCCAAAAGGATGCGATGTGAGGCTCACCTGGCTCCTCAGACAACACTTGCCATGGGCTGCACCTCCTGCTGTCAGTCCTGCTTGGCACTAATTAGCATAGATAATTGCACTGATGGTAACCATAATTTTCCTGCCTTCTCTCCCTACCTTCACACAAGGGTTCAATGGCCTAATGAGGCCCCAGAGGATAATCAGAGAGGAGCAGGTTCCCCCACCACAATGGCAGGTCCCACACAACCTGAGGGGATGGGAGAGCAGAGAAGGAAAAGGCACAGCCCAGCTGCTGGATGGGGAAAGCTGCAGAGTCTTGTTTACTTGGGGACACAGAGAAAAGTTCACTCCAATTAATTTTTTTAAGTGGACGGGCGTTAATCCCCCTACACTTATCTAGAATTAATGCAGCCTTAAGTAGATTTTTGCCTAATCCACTTCTACATCCGCCCAAAAGGGCACTGTCTGTTTTGGGAAGGAGCAGAGTTCAGCTAATCCACTTAAAATTCACAGGGCTGGTTTGTTCAGATTAACCTCCTCCAGCATTAATCCTCCAGAGACAGGCCAGGAGACCTCACCACCATCCTGCCTCTGCCACTGACAGGGCCACCCCCTCCATGGCTGTGTCACCTGCAATGCAGCTGCCCACGTGCTGGGCTCTGCAAGGACACAGAGATGTCCCCAAAACAGCCACTAGAGCAGAGCAAGGCAGCAGAGTGGGACGCCAGGGGCCTCGGGGCTGTTCAAATTCCATGGCAGAGGAAGGAGAGCAGAAGCAGCAGCGATGCTCGGACACAGACAGGGAGAAGGGGAGCAGCTGTGCCCGGGCTGGAGGGGTGCCCACAGTGCTGGTCCGTGGAGGACAGCCAGCCAGAAGTGACAGCCCTGGGACACCACCCAAGTGCCAGCAGCTCTGACAACCCCAAAAGGCACATGTGAAGGGCATAATGATCACCAAGACAGGTGCACTTCCCTCCCCAGCACTGATCTGCTCTGACAGGAACCAAGACACCACACTGATTGCCATGGATGCTCACAGCTCCCACCTCACATCTCTTCCTGCCAGGCAAGGCAGAGGAGGTCCTCTCCTGTTTGGAGCAGCTCCCCTTTCCATGTCAAATCCTGGGAAGCCAGCACAGCCCATCAGGGCCCAGTGGTGGAGATGAGCCAGCAGATCTCCCCTGAGACACAGAGTCAAACTCTGAGGACATCAAAAATGGGAGAGCACAACCCAACAGCAGCTCTCACACCTCCCAGACAGGCTTTGGAGGAGATTGAGCTCAGCTGGGAGAGGCAGAGTCATTCCCCCATGGCAGTAGGGTTGATGGTCCAAGATGATCCCAAAGGACCCCTCCAACACCCAAAAATTGGAAAAATATAAGCCAAAACAGGAGCAGCAAAGAAATCACTGACGGCGTGAAACAATTTGCCACAGGAGTCCTGTCAGTGTGGAGTTGGCTTCTCCCCCATCATCACTCAGTAAGTTTCTGGCACTTCCAAAATTCTGAGGAGATTCACTGGGAATGATCCAAGTATTGGATCACTATCCACCCTGGCAGGATCCTTCACAGAAGAGGCACCACAGCAGACAATGACCTGAACATTGAATCCCCCTGCAGCTCCTCATGCAGCAGGGACATTGGGGCAGCAGGGATGAGCAGCACCTGGATGGCTGCTGGAGCTGGATGTGACTCCCTGGGCCCCACCTTTCCACCAGCAGTTCAAGGAGGACAGGTGGCCTTGGAGCTACAGAACATTCCTGGGTCTGTAAATCCATTCCTCGTCTCAGAAGCTGATTGATCCTTTTTTTTAAACTCAAATTCAATGTTTAAGAGTAATGATTTCCAAGTGAACACAGAGTGGCTCAGATATATCGGCAGTTTTTATGGATCAGAAGCAAAAGCCTTAAATCAGACTTTAATGAAGAGAAATATGTCTCTCCCCATCTCAGAACAACGGCAGGGGCTGATAGCAGTGCAAAAATCCTTGCATAGGTGATGCCCAGTGATTTATCCCAGAACACGGGCCAACTGGGATGTTCCCACAGAGATGTCCTTGGGATGCAGGCAAACTTATTGGTGATATTCTGCAACCCAACCCAACTCTGAATCAAACACCTGGAAAAGCAGAAAGCAGAAGAGATCCCATGGGACTCAGGCAAGGGGGAAGAATAGCCCTGTTTTCTCCTCAGCAAAGGAGCATTAGAGGCACCAAAAGCTGACAGGCTCAGAAATAATGGTTTGAGATCACTCTTGTTTAAAAACCACTGCCTGCTGTTTTCATTGCAAGCCCTGCTCTGACTTGCAGAAATATTTAAAATTAAATATACATAAGTGCTTTCAAAGAACTGTTAATTTGAAGGTCATTAAATGGCATAAAATACATTCCTTTTTTTTTTTCTGGAAAGAGGCACGTAATTATGCCATTAATACACGCTCTTCTTCCACATTCAAGCCTCAGAGATGCGAGGGGCTTGGGTTCACCTTTCCTGGCAGAGGCACAACATCTCCTTTTAATTACTGCCGTTGAGAAGCCTGCTGCTCCTCCATCACACCCAGGGATGGGGCCGGGAAAAAGCATGGAAAAGCCCCAGGGGAGAACAATGCAGCTGAATTGCAAATGGGGATTTTTGGGGGATGAGGGAAGTAACAGCGGGGCTGGAAATGTGGAGCCACTTGGCAACACCCAGTCCAGTTGTGAGGATCCTGCCCACTGATTCTCACATGAGACCTTGGGCCAAGCCCAGAGTAGGGGTTTGGTAGCCAAAAGTCTCTTTTTCAATTTAACACTCTATGCAAAAAGGATAAAGCAAACCCAGACACACACACACAAAAAAAAACCAACTAAAAAGACACAAAAGGGTTGAGGTTTTTACAGTTGCCATAGAAATGGAGAGAAGGAGCTGATGACTGCAGAGCACAAAGTGAAAGGCCAGGATCAGGGGCGAGGGTGAGGTGGGCTCACCCGGGCATGCAGCCTCATCCAGGCATGGATATTCATGTGGGATGCAGCCAAAGGAGCAAGGCACTGTGACTGAGCTTCACTCAGGAGCAGTGGCAGCAGTCAGGATCCACCCCAGCAATGCCCCCCCCAGAAACAGAAACCCATCAGGACCCCGTGTGATGGACAGAGCCCAGCCCAAAAGAAAGGCCTGTGCAATGGGTCCTCTTTGATCCAAAACTCCCTTTTCTTTCCTTTAAACCATAACTCTGCAGGGAGAAAACAGCTTCTGAGCCATCCCTTCTCCTCTGTGATCAAAGAAAGGAAGTCCAACACCAACCAGCGTGGATCAGAAGATGTGAAATTGGACTGTTCATCTTTAGACCAAGGAAGAGACTCTTGCCAGAGTAGGAGCAAAAGAACAGCATCAAAGGCTGCCACCCAAGTCAAGGTGAGAGTCTCTTCCTTGGCATCTGACAAAGGAAAAGGAGGAACAGGTCAAACACAATGCTGCTGCCATGGCCAGGCAGGGACAGCGCTGTCACTTCCAGACAGAAAGGCTTCACAGTTTGGAAAATTGATTTTATGTGGAAGAAAGCCCTCTAAAGTAACAGAATGGTCTGTCAGAAATCATCTGAAATTTGTATGCTGTTTTTCTCAATAAAAAGCAAAAACCAAACATGGCTATTTTGGATTTTCCCCTTTGTTTTCCACTAACAGACTGATGGCCTTTCATGAAATCTTTTGGTTGGGATGAAATGACTTTCACTGAAAGGCAAGAGAACAGGAGGCCCGTGGTGACCCTCCCTCAAGCAATTCCCTTGGCCCATGATGGCTCTTCGCTGCAGGGATTAGTCTGAGCCCACCTGCTTGCTCTTTGCTCTGCCCAGAGCACCACCAGTATGCTGCTGGGCTCTTGCATGACCCTGGAGGGGACACATACAGGTCCCAGCACAAGGCTAAGATGTGGGGACAGCTGGTTAGGAGTGGTGGCATATGGGAATCATCTGCCCTGACACAGCTCAGGAGACATCAGGTGCTGGACAGCTGGGAAAGGGCAACAGAATGGAAAGGCCACCAGCCCTGGCAATGCCCAGGGGCACTGCTGGTGGCCCAGAGCCAAGGAGCATCATCCACCCTGGGAAATTGAACCAAGATAGTCTTGGCACTCTGATAGCACCTGAGCACCAGACAGCCTGTTTGACCCCTCAGGGGTACTTGGCCTGCCGGGTGGGATGGGCAGTACTGAATGATTCATATTTCTTATTCACAATGAAATGGCCTCAAGCTGTGCCAGGGGAGGTTCAAGTTGGACACCAGGAAGAATTTCTTCACTGAAAGAGTGATTAAACATTGGAATGGGAAGGTGGTGGAATGCCCATCCTTTGAGGTGTTGAAGGAACGGTGGACATGGCACTTAGTTCTCTGGACTGGTTGACACGGTGGGGATCAGTCACAGGTTGGACTCAATGGTCTCAGAGATCCATTCTGATGCTGTGACACTGTGGTTCTGTATTAAAGGGCTGCTGTGGTGTGCTGGGGCAGGGACAGCATGAGCCGGCAGCAGCAGCTGCCTCGCAGGTGCTCACAGGGCTGGCAACAGCGGCAGGGGAGCCATAAAGGTGCAGTATTGATATTTAGCCTGTGTGCCTGTCACTCGTTCCTTTAAACGCCTTTAGCTTCCTTCTAATAAAAGAGAAATCATAAAAAACCCCACAAAGGACCCGTCAGTGCCAGCGAATACCAATGTGGCGGGGCGGTGCATTAGCATGCACGGCGCCCGCTCCATCTGCATGTTGTGTTCCGTGTGACAACATCCCAGAATGCAGATTTGGGCCGCCAACATCCCGAGAGGTATTAGCAATCGTCTATCAGACAGGAAGAGGAGCAGTCCCTGCTGTTGTAAACAAGGGGGGGTTTTCTCTGCCTCTTTCTCTGGGGGGAGTTCAGTGAATTGAAACAAGCTCATTCCTGCATCTTGTTAGTTCTTGTTCTTCGGCAGAGCACAGGTCATCTGCCTTGGGCACTGGAGAAAAAAACTGGAGGTGTAGAGAGCACCTCAAAAGGTCCTTCAGCTGCTGGAGGTGATGAACCATGAGCATGAACGTGTTCCTCATGAACCACCACGAACTGAACATGTGCTCCTCACAGGATACACAGGGGTCCACCCAGCCACAGAGGACCCTAACAGCCCCAACACAGGAGGAACAGTGGTCCCACTCAGGAGATGTGCACAGTGCTGGCAGCAAGCAGAGAACAGTGGCAGCAAGCAAATCTGGTGAGGCATCTCCAGGCATAGATGGGAATAAGATGGGGCAGATGGACATGGAGCAATGCCATGGTGTATCTGGATATGGGCAGCCCCATGGCAAAGAGAGACATGAGGAAAAACCACAGGCCAGGTGGGTGTGAGCCATCGTCACAGCACTGAGGGACACAGGACATCACCTAGCACAGACAGACATGGGCTGAGAAGTAAAGCAGCCCCTATAACACAGCTGGACACGGGGCATCCCTGTGGCTCAGGAACACCCCCAGGAGATGGATGGATGCAGGATGTCCCCATGGCACGAGTAGATGTGGAGTATTGCCAATGTGACGATGGAAGATGAGAGGGATGGAGGGTGAGTAGGAGGACAGAGGATCTCGGTGTACGTATGAGCCACCACACCACCAAATCCCAGCTGGGACCTGCAGCCCCTGAGGCACAGCCAGCCCGTGCCACTGCTCCGCCACCACACGGCACAATGCCAGCAAGAGCACCGTGATGGATCACTGCAGCTCGCACACAGCCCTCTAAGTAAAAGCCTTATTAAGAGTTCATTCGTTTCATAAACTCCTGGGGCGATCCACAGGGGGAAGTCAGATGGCCCAGCCTTACAATATTCTGAGTAAACACTGACCTGTGTTGGGCAATTTTTACCAGATCAATTTGCCTAGGAGACCAGTGGAGGAACCAAGAAAAAAAAGAATAATAAAGATCAAATTAAATATGGGGAAACATCCACCAAGAGAGGCTATAAAGAAAAGCAGAAAAATACAAAGCAGGACGGATGGATGGACAGAGACACACAAGACACTCAGACCTACCTCTGAAGCCATGAAACCTAAGTCCATAAATCAGTATCAAAATCCTTAGGTCCACAAGATGGGGGAAAAAGTCCTCCATAGCCATCTTCCAGACATCACGAGGCCCTGGAGGCCTGAGCAGTCCACTTCCCAGAGCAACTCTCCTCCTCCAGCAGCCACCAACCCAGTCACAGCCACGCAGTGGCTCCTCCAGTCCCGTCCCATCCCCACCGTGCTGGTCGGCCTTGGCATCCTCCTCCCCAAGTGCAGGATGCCGAGCACTTCCTTCATCACCAGGTGCTTCCAGGCTGCCTCCTGCCCTGGGGGCTGTGGGTACAACCCCTGGCCCCCGGGGTCAGGGACCGGCCGGCCGCTGGCTGCAGGGTCAGCGCTGCTCTTCGGTCATGGACAAGCAGTGAGTCCACGGAAGGTTGACAACATACACAGGCGCACGAGCGCGCACACACACACGGGAACACCTCTTTCCATTTTCCAGGATGGAGAGTTTGTTTTTTTTTTTTAATCCTTTTTTAACTTTTTGCAAAAAAAATGCAAGCAAAAGAGAAAAAAAAACCAAAACCCAAGGTTTTCTATTGAAGGTACATCTCTTCTTCAATATGAAGACATTAACTGGATTGAGTCGGATCCCCCATGCAGTGGTCAGCAAAGTCCTTTGGTAGTTGCCAGAGTGGCACCCAGGTGGGATGGCAGGGAGCTGCAGAGACATCTGAGGACACTTCCACCCAGTCCGTGAGCAGAGAGGGGAGCAGGGTGAGCCAGGAGGGCCCGTGGAGGGAGGAAGGGCAAAAGGAGAAAAAGGAAGGTGGTTCCTCTGGACAGGATGCTCCATCTCATGCCTCTCCCTTCCCCAACAGCCCCTTCCTCCTTCTCAGTTTCGACCACTGCTCACTGGTGGCGGGATTGGAGTCTGGTCTCTAGGGTTTGGGTTTGCTTCCCCAACGTACATTGGTTTGTCTTCATTGTTTTCTATGATTTTTTTGTTTTGCTTTGCTTTTTAAATATATGATTTGTACATATTTATACGTATTTATACGCTGTCCCCCATGACATTGGTAAGTGTGCTTCTGTTGGTGAGAAACGAAGTCACCAGTCAGAGGTGAGTCCCAGGAACATCCTTTGGCTGCAGTCGCAGTCCCCAGGCAGCGGCAGCTCCTCTCCCAGCGCTGCCCCGCCTCAGTTCCTCCCCTCCCACCTCTGCCCTCCGCTGCGCGCCCTCCCCACGAACAAGGGACGTCATGCCATCGAGGTGGGAGACTGGCTCATCTGTACTCGCATGGACTGGACGCTGTTCAGGATCTTCTTCTGGTGCCCAGCCAAAGTCACCCCTATTCTCAGGAGGTCTCTGCAAGACAGACAGACAGAGGAAGGTCAATGGCAAGCTGAGGGTGGTGCACCTGTTTTGCTATTGCTAAGGGAGGTGAGCTCAGCTGGAACATCCACAGGGCCCAAGCACAGTCCCATAAGCATCACTGAGAGCAAGGTGACATCCACACATTGACCCCCAAATAGTGAATGTGGCCACCTCCAGACTCTGGTGACCAATGTAAGGGATGCTCACACCAGTCCCCACCTCCCCAGCTGGGCAGCACCCTGCGTTCAGGCAGCCCTGGCACGGCAAACTCACTCGGATGTCATCTGGGCCACCAGCTGCAGGGAGGTGAAGCCAGCGGTCAGGAAGCTGTCCCGGTACTGGCTCATCTTCACAGCGCTCAGCCAGTCGTCTACTGAGGTAAAGGCAGTGAAGTCGGGGATGGAGCGGTCGAGGAGGGGCTGAGAAGGCCTGAAACAGGACACACCGCTGGTGACACACCTGGCTGGCACCGAGGGGCTGCCCTGCCTGAACCCGGCCAGCACAGGGACACACTCCCCAATCCACCCCCGGTATCCCTGTGCTCCCCCCAGCACAAACCCAAGGAAGGCCATGAGGAAGGCCTGTCCCACAGGAACACTGCCATGCCAAGCAGCACTTTGCAAGCTCACACGTATTCCAGCTGCAGGAGCCACAGGGATGAGGCATCAGCAGAGCAGCCACCACACCCAAATGGTCACACACCATAAAGAATCAATAGCAAAGAATTATTGCTGTTGCTTGGCTGAAAACTGCACGTTCTTTGTCTGACTGTCAGGCAGAGTGAAGGCAGAGCCCCCCTGCCCCCATCTAAGGATTTATGAATTCTGGAGCCGCTCAGGGAGCCTTTCCCCACAGCGTGGGATGGCGACGGGGAGCATCCCCACGCCCAGCACTCACACAGCGGTGATGGTCGCCACAGTTTTGAGGCTTGCCGGGTTGCGGATCATTTTGTCGAGGGTGTTGACGATCTCGGTGAAGCGTGGGCGGGTGTTGCGGTCCTTCTGCCAGCAGTCCAGCATCAGCTGGTGCAGGGCGGCCGGGCAGTCCATGGGCGGCGGGAGCCGGTAGTCCTGCTCGATGGCGTTGATGACCTGAGGATGGATGAGGACGGATGAGTGAGGGGCAGAGTGGATGAGGACTCGGGGAGCTCCCTGAGCTGCCTGTGCAGGTAGAGGGGCTGCAGGCAGCCGGGGAGGGACAGCCAGCCCGGCTGATCAGCAGCCGAGGGAGCAGGAGGA